CATCAGCAGGGCTGCGGACAGTCTTCCACCTCGTGCAGGCCCACCAGCCCAAGTGAAAGACCGCAGCTGAGATCGCCAGCACAGCAGGGCTCCGCTCCATGCTCGCTGGGGAGAAGCTGCTGCGGGACATCGCTCCGTGCCATGAAGGAGCTGCGCCTGAAGCTGGAGGCGTCGGGGGATGGTGGCAGCCCCCCCCCCCCTCATTCTCCTTCCCGGAGTTGTGCTTCTGCACGCAGCCCCCTGGCCACAGCGAATCCGGCAAGCTACTGAAGCTCCGAGGCTGCAGGAACGTGCCCCTCAAGAGTGCCCCAAACACAGCGCTCTGCACGTGGCTGTGTCAAGGCGCTGCATTCCCGGGACCTGGCCGACCTACCGGACAACACAAAATGGAGAGGCCATTTCTCTCCCCTCATTGCGGCCGTCCCTCAGTGGAAACAAATGTACAAGTCTCCCGTAGCCAAACGCTGCGGTGACGTCCAGTGGAGATTGGCTCACTTCACGTTGCCATCGGCCGTGTGGCCCAGCCGAATCTCACCAGGGGTACCCTCATGTTCACCTTCTGAAGCGCTCGCTTGTCACCGTTGCGTGCGCGATGACCACCACCATCACCACCACGTGACTTTTCTTTCGTGTTGTGCGCGGTGCATTTAGCGCCACAGTGCGTGGATTTATAGCGTATATTTGTTTGCTGGTGACTGTGTATTTCGTATCAGTATTGACTCCAGTGCTGTTACTGCTGGCGGCAATAAAAGTTTTTAAAAGTCAAAAAGTATTTCCCTCTCTCTCTGTACGTACATCTCTGTCTCTCTGTACGTCTCTATCTCTGTGTAGAGCTCTGTCTCTCTCTGTACGTACATCTCTCTCTGTAGTCCATCTCTCTGTACGTCTTTGTCTTTCTGTCGATCTCTCTGTCTCTGTCCGTACATTTATCTCTGTACCGTCTCTCTCTCTATACGTACATCTCTGTGCCCCCCCCCCACCACTTCTCTCTCTTTACGTCCATCTTTCTGTGACTCCGTCTCTCTGCCTCTCTCTATGCACCTCTCTGTGCCTCCGCTCTGTGTATGTCCACGCATCTGTGTGCGTGCGCCGCGTTATCTGGATGGAGCGAGCGGGCCGCTTGCACGCGCGATCGCGGCCGTGCTGTAATAAAATGCAAACGTGGCGCCGCGGAAGATGGATGTAGCCTCTCTTCTGATTACCTCCAAAACTCGATTACAAATGGATCCACGCTTTATCTCGTCCTCTCACGGCGCACAGAGCCACATTAAATACAGAACGACTGCGCGATAGCAGGCCCCTGCATTGAGCTCCGCTTCATAGAATATATGTCTCGCGGTGTGTGTGTGTCTGTGTGTATGTCTTTGGTGGGGAGCGTTAGTGTAGCGGTTTGGGCACTTCGCTACGAACCCGGCGAACGGAGTTCGATTCCCCTTCACGGCCAACACCAATGACGATTATATGAACCGGTCATGGGACTCCTCTACGTCGACCCAGCCTCAAATGAGTACCTAGTGCGGTGTGTAAACCATTGCCACTAGGGAGACAAAGGCGGCCGGGCGCGGGGCTAGCCCCCCCCACCCCGCCCCCTCTCATGTGCCGTGCCAGCCTTCGTAGGTGCTCGCTAACAGCACTTGCCCCAACAGTCTTATGAGGCTATAGGGGGATTTTTGTCTTTGGCGCCGGCAGTGCAGTGGTGAGCGCTCCTCGCTACGATCCAGGTTCAAATTCGTCTCACGGCCAACGTGAGTAGCGAATATCGTAACCGATTGTACCATTACCCTTCGGTCTTAATAGGCGCTGGTAACAACGCTTTCTCAACAGTCCATGAGGCTACGCCGTATTTATAATGGATTTGTGTCGTAACCGCCACGTAAAACTGACTTATCAGCAAAACGTGATGTAGTCGACAGTAACCAGTGGTCGTTCTACTCATGACTCGATCCTGCCATAGAAACATGGAATTCCCACCACTGGTTTCGGGTGTTAGGCAGGAGTTGAATTTCGTTAATAGGTTTATAAAAACGCGTTTGAGATAGATACATAAATACATAAGCATTCCCTTTTCAAAATATCCGGCACATATTGTGACTCAGTGACTGATGTTCTAGATGGGCTGGAGAGCTGAGCGAGTCATATAGAATGACAACGTTCTTCTCGAACGGCCAAAGTATAAACGCACGTCCACCCCTATTCGCTATAGCATTGATTCAAGTGTTATGAAGAAGGGCCATGTCCCCGAAACCCCCGCCTATGATATATTTGCCTTTTAAAGGCCACAGTGTCATTGACGAATGTGGACGTCGAGGAAGAGCGGAATGCGCTGTTGCAATACGTGCACTCCACCTGTTCCATCTCTATGGGAGAGAGTTTAACACGTAGTAGTAGGCTGCTTTCGCGACCAATATTATCCATAATTTTTTTGGGTTAGATCGCATAAATATAAATGTATCGTTAAGCCCGCCACCACCCAACAACGTCAATTAGTAAAGTTTGTCACGTAAACAAAACATGCGAAATTAGTTACTCATGTTATGGGTTTTCTCTCCAACACACCAGTGTGCTGAACTGGTAACTAATTGTCATGTTCTGTTTACGTGATAAACCTTAAGTAATTGGCTGTGTCGGGTGCTGGCGGGTTTAACAACACATGGATATGTACTCAATCTAACCGAAAACAACCTCTATAATGGGATAGAGTGTTGCCCCCTCGCAAGCATGGGATTTCTCTGGGTGAACCAGATTCCTCCCACGCGTCATTCCTCATGAGTTGACCGATAACACCGTCATATTGAGAGGACCGCAGAGCTTGGGGTGGGGAGGGGGGTGGAATTGCTGCTGCTGCTGCCTTCCCGATCGTCCGTGGTCCTCCTCCTGGTCCATCCTCTCATCATTTTGATAGCGAGTGGCGTCGCGTCACGAGTGGTTGAGATTGTTCATAAAGTAACAGCATTGAAACGTGTTAACAGTTATTACTTTTTGCTGTGCATTAGAAATCTGCGGGTCAGCAAGGTCCTGAATCGATACACACGTGGCAGTTCACCAGCATCGATCCAAGCAAGCTCGACTCCTGCTGATGAGATGCTGAATGTCGAAACCGATCCACAGTTTAAAACGGTTCTCTCCCAGAAAGCCGCATGGCTTATGCGATGCATAATATATTTTTTATATGTGGAGGGACAAATATAAGAATGAGGCATATTGCCTGTTTATTTATTTATTTACAGTATATGTACTAAAATACATAGCGGTAGGTATACAATACTTCCAAACGCTGTGCTGCATGCACATGCAGGCCTAATACGCTCTATACACGCGCATAGCGCTATCATGCTACACATTCGCACACTTGCATTAGACAAAGATCCCCTGTTTAGCGTTTAACAAACTTTTGTTGCAAATGCTGTTAGCGAGCCCCATACGAAGGCCGGCACGGCACATGAGGGTGTGGGTGGCCAACGCCACGACCGGCCGCCTTTGTCTCCCTAGTGGTTACTCAGTGCACACTCACGCACACGTATATACACACACACATCACACCAGCCAAGCATATAGCCTCAATCCATCTCTTACCAGTGCAAAACCTCTCGATGCTATCGCTGCACCTCGCCTTTGGCGACCCCCTCCACCCACGACGCCCGTTCACTCAATCCACGACCGCAGATGCCCGCAGCTGCGCTACTTTGCAGGGATCATTCCACGGCACAAAAGAAAACTCGATGACATTCGTTGACTACCTTGTGGCCTTAAATTGAAAATAAGTATATAATAGGCGACGTTTCGGGCAATGGCCCTCGGTGATGCTTCTGCGTTGATACAAATAACAAAAAAACATTCCTCCATAGCACTGCCCTCTCTAAAAAAAGGCCTCTATTTGACGTGCTGTGAAGAAGCGTTATGGCCAGAATCGTCGCCTATTATTTTACAAAATACAGTAAAGCGTCACGCTCACAGACGGCTCTTGCTTATAACGCCTGGCGACCATGCAGTGGGATGTGTTTAACGGGTCACACATTGCTGATGAGCCTCGGACATGTCGAAACCGGTTTTTGTTTATTTGTTATGCTTGAATACAAATACCGGGTTTTCTTTCGGATTATCAGACGCACTTTGCCCCCTGCATTTTAAAGCAAACGCTGGGGGTGCATTTTATAATTCGGTAGGTGTGCGAGTGTGTGCGTGTGTGTGCAAGTGTGTGTGTGCGAGTGTGTGTGCAAATGTGTGTGTGCGAGTGTGTGTGCGAGTGTGTGCGTGTGTGTGCGAGTGTGTGTGTGCGAGTGTTTGTGCGAATGTGTGTGTGTGCGAGTGTGTGTGTGTGTTTGTGCGAATGTGTGTGCGTGCGAGTGTGTGCGAGTGTGTGCGTGTGTGTGCAAGTGTGTGTGTGCAAGTGTGTGTGTGTGCGAGTGTGTGCGTGTGTGTGCGAGTGTGTGCGTGTGTGTGTGTGTTTCGGAGGAGAGGTAGTGCAACGGTTATCGCGCTGCGCTCCGAACCCGACTACCCGAGTTCGATTCCCGCTCACGTCCAACACCAGTGACGATTATCTGAACCGGTCATGAGCCTCCGCTAGAGTGACTCGGCCTAAAATGAGTACCTGGTGTGGTGTGTAACATCACCACTGGGGATACAAAGGCGGCCAGGCATGGTGTCGTTGGTCACCCCCACCCCCCTCGTGTGCCGTTCCGGCCTTCATAGGTGCTCGCTAACTGCACTTGCCCAAACAGTCTGATCAGGCTATACGGGGGATCATTGTCTTTTTTGCTATAGTGATCACATGTTCTCACCAGGCACACATTTTGGGGGGGGGTGCGTCTTCCTTTCTGGAGCGTCTTATAATCCGTAGACTACGTCTTATAATCCGCAGAATACGTCTTATAATCCGTAGAATACGGTAAAACCAAATTGCTAGCATAACACGAAAACATTGGTCGGGAAAGGTGCACACCGCTGTCGGACTGAGATATAAACCGCATTTGAATTGAATTGGAAACTTGCAAGCGAACGTGCGATTTGTTTTTATTATTATAAACAATTAAAAGTATAATCCATCAACATCAATCATTGTGTCAGTCACGATCAATCCACTGCTGGATGAAGGTCCCCCCCCCTCCAAGTCTTCGCCACTAAAGGATGTGAGAGATAGGATTATTGATTGGACATCACGCGTTATAAAGCATGAGAGATATCTCTGCTGATTTGGATATCGCTTCCCGCATGCGTGCTGTCTTGTCCGTATCACAACCAATACTCGAGACGACTAACCCCACACCCACACGACCCCGAGCCTCAATTACAAATGAAATTCATGAGAAATGTAGTTGGGAATAACAATCAGAATCGTTAGCTATATAGTTGTCTGTCTTGAAAACTCACCTCTTTAAATTTGCCTTTACCCCCGCCGAGTTCTTGGCCGTTTACCATGCGGGTTCTGTTTATGGGGTGCCAGAATGGCGAGATGTTAACTCCCTCGCCTGGTGTACAGGAGGTCGTGGGTTCGATCCACAACCCTGACACTTGCTGCTGTATATTTGTAGTTTGCATGTCTCTCTTCCCGTGGTCGTGTGGATTTTCTCTGGGTCCTCCGGGTTTTCCTTCCACATTTAGAAACATGCATTATTGAGCTGATATAAATTCCCACACAAGAAGCCATTTGGTTGAGCTATCGTTTGTGGCCAGGTCGCTTCTGAAAAAGAGCTACATAGCCATTTTAGTTTGTCCTGATTTCCATACACGGTGGCGCGTTGGGATCTACGGGTGAAATGCGCAACTTTACAAATGTAAATGACAAAGTATACATTCGAGACTGACTTTGCTAATGAGACACTGAATGTCGAAAACCGGTGTAGAGTTGCTCGCGTTAAGCCAATGCTGCTGAAAAGAAAGGTCGTGTGTCTAATGAGATGTCAAAATAATATTTAAATTTATTACGTGGATTAACAGATATGTGGAGGCATTATTGTCTTCTTAATTTGCTATGCAGGAGATGTTTGTGGTGAAGTACAGACTACAGACACATTATATGTGTCTGTAGTCTATATTTGGAAGACAAAGGCGGCCAGGTGGAGATATTGGCACACCACCCAGAATGCGCAGTTCCAATCTTCACAAGTGCTCGCGGACAGAACTTTCCCTAACATCCCTGTGTAGGCTACACGGGGGATCTGTATCTCTGTTGTCTTTGTGTCTGTGTATATGTGTGTATGTTCAGTTTATATGATATCGCGGCTAACCTATTTATACTCGCAATTCGCTATGTGCGGTTTGAATTCACTCATATGCGGCTATGCGGTCAGACGTGGGACAACATTGTGTACTGTGTGTATTGTGTGTACGGTGTACAGTGAGGGGAAAAAAGTATTTGATCCCCTGCTGATTTTGTACGTTTGCCCACTGACAAAGAAATGATCAGTCTATAATTTTAATGGTAGGTTTATTTGAACAGTAAGAGAGAATAACAACAAAAATCCAGAAAAACGCATGCCAAAAATGTTATGAATTGATTTGCATTTTAATGAGGGAAATAAGTAGTTGACCCCTCGGCAAAACATGAATTAGTACTTGGTGGCAAGACTCTTGTTGGCAATCTTAGAGGTCATACGTTTCTTGTAGTTGGCCATCAGGTGTGCACACATCTCAGGAGGGATTTTGTCCCACTCCTCTTTGCAGATCTTCTCCAAGTCATTAAGGTTTCGAGGCTGACGTTTAGCAACTCGAACCTTCAGCTCCCTCCACAGATTTTCTATGGGATTAAGGTCTGGAGACTGGCTAGGCCACTCCACGACCTTAATGTGCTTCTTCTTGAGCCACTCTTTTGTTGCCTTGGCCGTGTGTTTTGGGTCATTGTCATGCTGGAATACCCATCCACGACCCATTTTCAATGCCCTGGCTCAGGGAAGAAGGTTCTCACCCAAGATTTGACGGTACATGGCTCTGTCCATCGTCCCTTTGATGCGGTGAAGTTGTCCTGTCCCCTTAGCAGAAAAACACCCCCAAAGCATAATGTTTCCACCTCCATGTTTGACGGTGGGGATGGTGTTCTTGGGGTCATAGGCAGCATTCCTCCTCCTCCAAACACGGCGAGTTGAGTTGATGCCAAAGAGCTCCATTTTGGTCTCATCTGACCACAACACTTTCACCCAGTTGTCTTCTGAATCATTCAGATGCTCATTGGCAAACTTCAGATGGACATGTATATGTGCTTTCTTGAGCAGGGGGACCTTGCGGGCGCTGCAGAATTTCAGTTCTTCACGGCGTAGTGTGTTACCAATTGTTTTCTTGGTGACTATGGTCCCAGCTGCCTTGAGATCATTGACAAGATCCTCCCGTGTAGTTCTGGGCTGATTCCTCACCGTTCTCATGATCATTGCAACTCCACGAGGTGAGATCTTGCATGGAGCCCCAGGCCGAGGGAGATTGACAGTTCTTTTGTGTTTCTTCCATTTGCGAATAATCGCACCAACTGTTGTCACCTTCTCACCAAGCTGCTTGGCAATGGTCTTGTAGTCCATTCCAGCCTTGTGTAGGTCTACAATCTTGTCCCTGACATCCTTGGAGAGCTCTTTGGTCTTGGCCATGGTGGAGAGTTTGGAATCTGATTGATTGATTGCTTCTGTGGACAGCTGTCTTTATACAGGTAACAAGCTGAGATTAGGAGCACTCCCTTTAAGAGTGTGCTCCTAATCTCAGCTCGTTACCTGTATTATAGACACCTGGGAGCCAGAAATATTTCTGATTGAGAGGGGGTCAAATACCTATTTCCCTCATTAAAATGCAAATCAATTTATAACATTTTTGACATGCGTTTTTCTGGATTTTGTTGTTCTTACTGTCTCTCACTGTTCAAATAAACCTACTATTAAAATTATAGACTGATCATTTCTTTGTCAGTGGGCAAACGTACAAAATTAGCAGGGGATAAAATACTTTTTTCCCTCACTATGTATTGTGTGTATTTTGTGTACTGTGTGTATTGTGTGTACTGTGTGTGTATTGTGTATTTTGTCTACTGTGTGTACTGTGTGTGTACTGTGAGTATACTGTGTGTACTGTGTGTGCATTGTGTATTTGTGTACTGTGTGTATTGTGTATTTTGTCTACTGTGTGTATACTGTGTGTGTACTGTGTGTGTACTGTGAGTGTAGTGTATTTTGTCTACTGTGTGTGTACTGTGTGTGTACTGTGTGTGTATTGTGTATTTGTGTACTGTGTGTATTGTTTGTTTTGTCTCTTGTGTGTACTGTGTATACAGTGTGTGTATTGTGTATTTTGTCTGTGTGTGTACTGTGTGTGTACTGTGTATTTGTGTACTGTGTGTATACTGTGTGTGTACTGTGTGTATACTGTATGTGTACTGTGAGTGTAGTGTATTTTGTCTACTGTATGTGTACTGTGTGTGTATTGTGTATTTGTGTACTGTGTGTATTGTGTATTTTGTCTACTCTGTGTGTACTGTGTGTATACAGTGTGTGTATTGTGTATTTTGTCTACTGTGTGTATAATGTGTGTGTACTGTGTGTATACTGTGTGTGTACTGTGTGTGTATTGTGTATTTTGTGTACTGTGTGTATACTGTGTGTGTACTGTGTGTGTATTGTGTATTTTGTCTACTGTGTGTGTACTGTGTGTATACTGTGTGTGTATTGTGTATTTTGTGTACTGTGTGTGTACTGTGTGTATCGTGTATTTTGTCTACTGTGTGTATACTGTGTGTGTACTGTGTATATACTGTGTGTATACTGTGTGTGCACTGTGTGTATTGTGTATTTTGTGTACTGTGTATCGTGTATTTTGTCTACTGTGCGTCTACTGTGTGTGTACTGTGTGTATACTGTGTGTACTGTGTGTATACTGTGTATACTGTGTGTGTATTGTGTATTTTGTGTACTGTGTGTGTACTGTGTGTATCGTGTATTTTGTCTACTGTGTGTATACTGTGTGTATACTGTGTGTATACTGTGTGTGCACTGTGTGTATTGTGTATTTTGTGTACTGTGTATCGTGTATTTTGTCTACTGTGCGTCTACTGTGTGTGTACTGTGTGTATACTGTGTGTACTGTGTGTATACTGTGTGTACTGTGTGTGTATTGTGTATTTTGTGTACTGTGTGTGTACTGTGTGTATTGTGTATTTTGTCTACTGTGTGTGTACTGTGTGTGTACTGTGTGTGTATTGTATAGTTTGTCTACTGTGTGTGTACTGTGTGTATACTGTGTGTGTACTGTGTGTATTGTGCATTTTGTCTGTGTGTATACTGTGTGTACTGTGTATATACTGTGTGTGTACTGTGTGTGTATTGTATATTTTGTCTACTGTGTGTGTCCTGTGTGTATACTGTGTGTGTACTGTGTGTATACTGTGTGTGTACTGTGTGTGTATTGTGTATTTTGTGTACTGTGTGTGTACTGTGTATATACTGTGTGTGTACTGTGTGTGTATTGTATATTTTGTCTACTGTGTGTGTACTGTGTGTGTACTGTGTGTATTTTGTCTGTTTATATACTGTGTGTACTGTGCTTATACTGTGTGTGTACTGTGTGTGTATTGTATATTTTGTCTACTGTGTGTGTACTGTGTGTGTACTGTGTATATACTGTGTGTGTACTGTGTGTGTACTGCGCCTGGTGCGGTGTGTAAACATCTGCACTGGGGAGAGACAAACACGGCTGTGCGTTCTCCTGGCCACAACAACCCCTCGTGCGGGCCTCAATCGGTGCTCGCTAACAACACTTCCTCGGTCTATTTGTCTAAACAGGGGATTTGTGTGTGGGTGTGTGTAAGAATGCATATACGGTCTATGCACTTATAACCTATTCATGCCACGTCCCTTATCGTTTACACAATTCCATTCGATATCCCCTGTAATGCTCTGTAATATCCATTGAGATCCGCCGAGATAGGAGCGCGGTGGTGATGCGCGCCTAGGACCCGAGGGTTGGTGGATCACACAGGGATCTGTGAAACTCCATCAAGGAGTCAGTGGGCTCGTGAACCCGCGTGCGTGGACTCATCCTCAAATCACATTCCCAATACACACACACACATATATTTACACACGTATATGTAAAGGCAAAGGTCCATCCGTATAGTTTTTAACCGACTGTTAGGGCAAGTGCTGTTAGTAGAATCAGAATGTTGCGATGTTTACACACCACAGCCAGATACTCATTTGAGGTTGAGTCAACCTAGGGGAGGCCCAAGAACGGCTCAGACAAGGGTCAGCCGGTGTTGGTGGCCGTGAGCGGGAATCCAACTCGGGTGGCCGGGGTAACCGCAGCTCACCTAGCGCACTCACAAACACAAGAACAACATACATACGACAACCTCTCCTCGTGTTATTAATACGATCCAATTCAGAGCTATTGCAAGCACATCAATGCAGTCATTTTGCCCCGCCCCGGTTTCTAAAAAAATATATATAAAATCCTACATCAACAACAATCAGACCTCAATGAAACACAGCGCGAATCGCCAGCTCGCGAGCACCGCATTCATCTCGCATCACTCCTTCCCTCTTTTACTCACGCCGAGATAAGGTCCCGTGTAATATTTGCTCGCGCACCAACTAAATAGCATTGTAATGTAAGGCCGCCTCCCTTATCGCGAGCGCACACACACACACATTCTGCTGCACACTGCTGCCTATGAGCGAGCGATCGACCGCTCATGCGCCGCCACGCATTACTGTAGTAGTATTATTATTATACATGCACCGACACCCTACACGTATAAGTAACACGAAAACACATACACAGATAGCCCACTATTTAACAGGATGTTGGTTGGTGGGGAAGCAAGTACTGTTAGCGAGCACCTATTCAGACATGCAATAATTCAAACACGTAAACAATTAATGTAGTATAAATACAGACAGAATAAACATACACACAGACACGTACCGACAGCAACATATACACGAACACAGACACATACCGAGAAGCAAATACTTTACACAAACACCAAATACATACATTTATAAACTTGATTTGAAGCTTTCGTGACTGTAGGAATTCATCTTTCGGTAAAGTCACGTAGAAAGAAAATAAATAAAATAATAGAATGCGACGTTTCGATTGCAACACAAGCAATCGTCATCAGGTAGAACTAAATTTGAGAGAGAGACAAAACACAGACACGGAGACACACACAACATAGACACACAGAGGAGGCCTTATATAGAGAGAGGGGGTAGTGCAGAGAGAGGTGGGTCTGCTGGGACAGCTGCTGGAGCAGAGAAATTAGCATGTCAATGAATCCACCCCGAGAGCCTGGTGAATTTTAGAGAGACAAATAGTTTAAGAAAACTAAATTAAGCAAATCTTTTGGAAATGTAATGCAATGCAACACAGAGAGTCGGCTAACACACAGTTAACGCATAGCCTGGTTGATTACGATCTCCAAAGAGTGCTAAAATTAGAAGTTAAGTGTGAAATTTGTCAAACAGAGACAGAGAGTTGTGGGGAAATCCACCCCGAAGCGGCCAGGGGAGAGAAAGAGCGAATGGGACCTACGAGAGCCTGGTACATTTTAGAGAAATAGGCCGTTTGAGAAAACAAACTTGGAAAAAAAAATGGAAATGTAATGCAATGCAACACAGAGAGTCGGCTAACACACAGTTAACGCATCGCCTGGTTGATTACGATCTCCAAAGATTGCTAAATTTGAAGTTGTGTGAAATCTGACAGTGACACACAAACATACATCCTCAGACACACAGAGAGAGAGGAACAAACTTACATCCTCCCCGTAGAGGTGGTTCAAACTTGATTTGAAGCTTTCGTGACTGCAGGAATTTATCGGTTGCTTGTTTTGAAATCGAAACGTCATATTCTATTATTTTTTTTTCTACGTGACTTTACCGAAAGAACCAAATATACATATATTTATACTTTAACGAACATGTATACAGTACGTATTCATCATACATGCAAGTACATTCACCAGGTCCGGGCGCCTTTGTCTCCCGAGTGGCGATGTTTAGAGATCGCACTAGGTACTCATTTGAGGCTGAGTCGACCCAGGAGAGTCCTAGGACCGTTCAGATGATCTTCAATGATGTTGGTGACCGTTAGCGGGAAGAGAACTCGAGTCGATGTCACTTTTTATTGAACAGAACTCCTCGCGTTCAGCACCCCGGGACTCCGTGGCGACTCTGCCGCTTGCGCTGCTAGCCTGTCTCTCTCTCTCCTAGTCTCTCCACTGCTAGCCTGTCTCTCTCACTCTCCTAGTCTCACCACTGCTAGCCTGTCTCTCTCACTCTCCTAGTCTCACCACTGCTAGCCTGTCTTTCTCACTCTCCTAGCCTCTCCACTGCTAGCCTGTCTCTCTCACTCTCCTAGCCTCTCCACTGCTAGCCTGTCTCTCTCTCACTCTCCTAGCCTCTCCACTGCTAGCCTGTCTCTCTCACTCTCCTAGTCTCTCCACTGCTAGCCTGTCTCTCTCACTCTCCTAGTCTCTCCACTGCTAGCCTGTCTCTCTCACTCTCCTAGTCTCTCCACTGCTAGCCTGTCTCTCTCACTCTCCTAGTCTCTCCACTGCTAGCCTGTCTCTCTCTCTCACTCTCCTAGTTTCTCCACTGCTAGCCTGTCTCTCTCACTCTCCTAGTCTCTCCACTGCTAGCCTGTCTCTCTCACTCTCCTAGTCTCTCTACTGCTAGCCTGTCTCTCTCACTCTCCTAGTCTCACCACTGCTAGCCTGTCTCTCTCACTCTCCTAGTCTCTCCACTGCTAGCCTGTCTCTCTCACTCTCCTAGTCTCACCACTGCTAGCCTGTCTCTCTCACTCTCCTAGTCTCTCCACTGCTAGCCTGCTCCCTCTCTCACTCTCCTAGCCTCTCCACTGCTAGCCTGTCTCTCTCACTCTCCTAGCCTCTCCACTGCTAGCCTGTCTCTCTCACTCTCCTAGCCTCTCCACTGCTAGCCTGTCTCTCTCACTCTCCTAGTCTCTCCACTGCTAGCCTGCTCCCTCTCTCTCACTCTCCTAGTCTCTCCACTGCTAGCCTGTCTCTCTCACTCTCCTAGTCTCTCTACTGCTAGCCTGTCTCTCACTCTCCTAGTCTCTCCACTGCTAGCCTGTCTCTCTCACTCTCCTAGTCTCTCCACTGCTAGCCTGTCTCTCTCACTCTCCTAGTCTCTCCACTGCTAGCCTGTCTCTCTCTCTCACTCTCCTAGTTTCTCCACTGCTAGCCTGTCTCTCTCACTCTCCTAGTCTCTCCACTGCTAGCCTGCTCCCTCTCTCTCACTCTCCTAGTCTCTCCACTGCTAGCCTGTCTCTCTCACTCTCCTAGTCTCTCTACTGCTAGCCTGTCTCTCTCACTCTCCTAGTCTCTCCACTGCTAGCCTGTCTCTCTCACTCTCCTAGTCTCTCCACTGCTAGCCTGTCTCTCTCACTCACTCTCCTAATCTCTCTACTGCTAGCCTGTCTCTCTCACTCTCCTAGTCTCTCCACTGCTAACCTGTTCTCTCTCTCCTAGCCTCTCCACTGCTAGCCTGTCTCTCTCACTCTCCTAGTCTCTCCACTGCTAGCCTGTCTCTCTCACTCACTCTCCTAGCCTCTCTACTGCTAGCCTGCTCTCCCTCACTCTCCTAGCCTCTCCACTGCTAGCCTGTCTCTCTCTCTCTCACTCTTCTAGCCTCTCTACTGCTAGCCTGCCTCTCTCTCACTCTCCTAGTCTCTCCACTGCTAGCCTGCTTCACTCCACTCTCTCCTAGTCCCTCCACTGCTAGCCTGTCTCTCACTCTCCTAGTCTCTCCACTGCTAGCCTGCTTCACTCCACTCTCTCTCTCCTAGTCTCTCCACTGCTAGCCTGTCTCTCTCTCACTCTCCTAGTCTCTCCACTGCTAGCCTCTCTCTCTCACTCTCCTAGCCTCTCCACTGCTAGCCTGTCTCTCTCTCTCTCTCACTCTTCTAGCCTCTCTACTGCTAGCCTGCCTCTCTCTCACTCTCCTAGTCTCTCCACTGCTAGCCTGCTTCACTCCACTCTCTCCTAGTCCCTCCACTGCTAGCCTGTCTCTCACTCTCCTAGTCTCTCCACTGCTAGCCTGCTTCACTCCACTCTCTCTCTCCTAGTCTCTCCACTGCTAGCCTGTCTCTCTCTCACTCTCCTAGTCTCTCCACTGCTAGCCTCTCTCTCTCACTCTCCTAGCCTCTCCACTGCTAGCCTGTTCTATCTCACTCTCCTAGCCTCTCCACTGCTAGCCTGTCTCTCTCTCTCTCTCCTAGTCTCTCCACTGCTAGCCTGTCTCTCTCACTCTTCTAGTCTCCCCACTGCTAGCCTGTCTCTCTCTCTCTCCTAGCCTCTCCACTGCTAGCCTGTTCTCTCACTCTCCTAGTCTCTCCACTGCTAGCCTGTCTCTCTCACTCTCACTCTCCTGGTCTCTCCACTGCTAGCCTGTCTCTCTCTCACTCTCCTAGTCTCTCCACTGCTAACCTGTTATCTCTCTCCTAGCCTCTCCACTGCTAGCCTGTCTCTCTCACTCTCCTAGTCTCTCCACTGCTAGCCTGTCTCTCTCACTCACTCTCCTAGCCTCTCTACTGCTAGCCTGCTCTCCCTCACTCTCCTAGCCTCTCCACTGCTAGCCTGTCTCTCTCTATCACTCTTCTAGCCTCTCTACTGCTAGCCTGCCTCTCTCTCACTCTCCTAGTCTCTCCACTGCTAGCCTGCTTCACTCCACTCTCTCCTAGTCCCTCCACTGCTAGCCTGTCTCTCACTCTCCTAGTCTCTCCACTGCTAGCCTGCTTCACTCCACTCTCTCTCTCCTAGTCTCTCCACTGCTAGCCTGTCTCTCTCTCACTCTCCTAGTCTCTCCACTGCTAGCCTCTCTCTCTCACTCTCCTAGCCTCTCCACTGCTAGCCTGTCTCTCTCTATCACTCTTCTAGCCTCTCTACTGCTAGCCTGCCTCTCTCTCACTCTCCTAGTCTCTCCACTGCTAGCCTGCTTCACTCCACTCTCTCCTAGTCCCTCCACTGCTAGCCTGTCTCTCTCTCACTCTCCTAGTCTCTCCACTGCTAGCCTCTCTCTCTCACTCTCCTAGCCTCTCCACTGCTAGCCTGTTCTATCTCACTCTCCTAGCCTCTCCACTGCTAGCCTGTCTCTCTCTCTCTCCTAGTCTCTCCACTGCTAGCCTGTCTCTCTCACTCTTCTAGTCTCCCCACTGCTAGCCTGTCTCTCTCTCTCTCCTAG